TTTAATCTTTTTTTTAACTTTCTTCTTTAATAGTAGTGATTGTTTTCTGTTTGTTGTTTCACATGATATTATTGCTTTTGTATATTTATAGTATCATTATATAGACACTGATCACTCCCTGGTGTGTAGTAGAGTAAAACTGCAAACAAAGGGACACGAAAAAGGAAGGAAGACCACATATTGACATCAGCAAAACTTGCAATCAAAGAAAAGTGGAGGAATTTGCCCAAGTGCTTGAGGAAACCCTTCCAGGCCCAGCTGATGCAAATGGACCTGAACGATGGAAACATTTCAAGAACTCTGTTTATAACACTGCCTTGTCCACATTTGTCAAGAAGAACAAAAAGACGGCAGACTGCTTTGAAGTCTATTCGGAAGAGCTGATGCCAGCCATCAAGGAAAAGAGGAGAGCTCTAGCAGCATACAAAGCCTGTCCTGGTGTGTACAACTTGCAGGCTCTTTGACTTGCTCGTAGCAAAGTCCAGCAGGCTGCCAGGAGATGTTCTAATGATTATTGGCTTCAGCTCTGCTCTCAGATACAAATAGCAGCGGACACAGGTAACACCAAGGGAATGTATGACAGTATCAAGCAGGCTTTAGGTCCAATACAGAAATCTGTTCCTTTGAAGTCCGCTATAGGCGTGATCATCCAGGACCGAGCACAGCAGATGGAACACTGGGCGCAGCACTACTCTGAGCTATATTCCAGAGAGAATGTAGTAACTGAAGAGGCATTAAATAACATTGAGTGCCTGCCTGTCTTGTAAGAGTTGGACATCGAACCAACTTTAGCAGAAATAAAAATGGCCTTGGATTCCACCACCTCTGCCAAGGCACCTGGGAAGGATAACATCCCTGTTGAAGTGCTGAAGTGCTGCAAAGCAGTGGTCCCCAACCTTGGGCCGCCAGATGTTCTTGGACTTCAAACTCCCAGAAATCCTGGCCTGCAGAGGTGCTGGTGAAGGGTTCTGGGAGCTGTAGTCCAAGAACATCTGGAGGCCCAAGGTTGAGGATCACTGCTGTAAAGAGATCATCACCACCGAGTTGTATGAAATCTCTTGTCTTTGCTGGAGGGAAGGTGGAGTACCACAGGACATGAAAGATGCAAACATTGTCACATTGTATAAGAACAAAGGAGACAGGGGTAACTGCAATAACTACCGTGGCATCTCTCTTCTCAGCGTTGTAGGGAAGCTGCTTGCCCGTGTTGTGCTGAAGAGGCTCCAGGTGCTTGCAGACACAGTCTAT